AGTCCAACTGAGATTCCATATCGCATTCCACCACAGAATCAGATTCTAAAATTGTTTTATTTAACAAATAAAGAAGCCAAAACCATGTATTATACTGTCATAAAACACAACGGGAATTTGAAAACACGAGAGAAATTTAGAAAAACACGAGCCGCAGGCGAGTGTTTTCTATATTTCTCAAGTGTTCTCAAATTCCCCGAGTGTTTTATGACAGTATAATACATGGTTTTGGCTTCTTTATGTGCTTTAAAATATAGATTTACGTGCGCGAAACGATAAAACACGCTTTTCTATGATTTTATACTCTGATAAAAACATGGTTTTTAACCAATCAGAGCGCGCAAAATTTTCAGTCTATATTTTAAATACTTTTATCTGGTGAGGCGAGCAAGAAAACAGATTTTTGAAGTTAGGGGTACAGTCGTAGCTCTCTGAGCGGACACTCCCGTAAGCGGACAGTTCTACTTACGGCCGCCTTGACAAAACCCCGTTTGAACTTTAGTTCGTACAAACTCTGTATTTACACATTCCCGTAAGTGGCTAGTCTCCTACGCAGCCGTTATTTGTGTCGTCGCGCAACGCTTCTCCGACACAAAAAACGGCTGCGTAGGAGACTAGTAAGTGGCCAGCTCCAGTTGTGAACATTTTTTTTCTGCTTCCCGAGGGTGTCCGCTTACGGGAGCTTCGACTTTGCTTCAACATTTCGTCAAGAAAACTCACAGCGCCCTTTGGAATAAAACGTAAAACCCTAAAATAAAACCATCGTTATTTTTTCCACGGCCAAAGTGCGGCAACGGAAGCAGCCGCTGAACTAACTAGGCTGGCAGCTGTCGCGGGCTCATCTGGCTTCTGAATGCCTTCTGATGATGACGTGGATTGTGACAAGGCACCTTGGTGCGTAGAAGTATCTGTCGTATGAACCAAGTTCGTGGGTAGGTTTTCCCATTCGGCGTCCGATTCACTGTTCGCCTCTTCCGAAGCTAAGTCTGTTTGATCACTGGCATCACTGTCATCGTTTTCGTTGCTAATCGATATCAGCTCGGGATGACACTCAAATGGGCCTCCCCTAAAAAAGATGCATGGCAAGTTATTAAACAGAAGACATCTCTCTTCGTGCCGGAAGTAAGAAGATTTATCAAAAGAATGAACGAAGGAAGATTAACACAGATCACGAAAGACGAACTTGAACAGTTTTGGTGAAATATTTTACCCTAGGCAATTTTTAGTCTCCTTCACAGCCGTTATTTGGCTCGTCACTCGTCACGCAACGCTCTCCTCTCCCACTAAATCCTGGTTTTCATATGTCGGGAAAATCCCAGACCATCGGGGATTTTGTTATTTCCCGACCGTCCCAGACATTTCTGACTTATGAAAACACGACGAGGTAGATGTCTCCCTGAAAAAGATACAGATATTGATAATTCTTACCGTCCAAGATGAAGAGAATTCACGCAAGTGTAAAGGTTATGTAATGTTCTTCTGGGGTGGAGCAGGGACGGTTCTACATGCTACAGAAATTCAACCAAAAGAATATAATAATATTAGTGCACAAAACAGTCGTAATGTATCCGTGCAAGAGAGGATGATCTAAGAGAAGGATTCCCCATGTCCCATGATAATTTTTTGAAATCTATTAATAGTTTCGCGCCATGCTGTGAAAGTTATTTTTATTTCCTTCTGATCAAGGCTACGAGATCACGTTACTCGAACTGACCAATCAGGTAGCGCTCTCAAAATAACTCAGCTATAGACTGAAAGTTAAAAATAGATTTCAAACAATTATCATTGGAAGAGACCCATGTATGGGGGAATGCTTCTCTTAGATCATCCTCTCTTGATCTGTGTAACTGTTATAAAATCATTGCGACTTTCAATAACATGCGAACTCTCCTCAATAGGCCATTTAGGTTCCCTTTACCTCTGTTTCAAAACGAGTCCAAGTGAGAAACCTTTCATATATGAAAATGAGTCTTACTCACAAGTTCATTCAAATGCAAATCAAACTCATTTTCATATGAAAGTTTTTGCACTTTGACTCGTTTTGAAACAGAGGCAAAAGGCAACTCGGAAATGGCCTAGTAACGATTGTGTTTTTCGCTGCCGTCACATTTAATTGGAACACATGAAAACTTGAAACTATAACCATAACAACTACTAAATACTTGTCTACACTCCCTTTCCCCCTTTCAATGTTGGAAAATGGCAAAATGTACTTGTGTGTCCATTTAACATTGTACAGCGGTGGGGATGGGCAAAATGCTAGCCTGAGATCAGGCTCCTGAATAAAATTTGCGAGCGAAGCGAGCCGAGTCGCTGCCTGGGACGAGAACGAAAGCGTCGGAGCCTGAAGACATTCCTTTGACGCCGCCGATCCATGATACCAGATTCTGGTATCATGATCTGATTGGTCATTTTTGCTTAATATTGACAGATTCGCTGTGAATGATGACAGATGTTGACAACACAATGTCGCGCGTTGTTTGTTGAAGTTGAAACAGGAGAATTGAGCAAGCGTTACGGAATTTATTCATCAGATCTTTCAGAGATATCCCTCGGCTCAAGGAAGAGCAAAAGATATGCCTAGAAATCTGTGGCAAAGAGCGCGATGTATTTGGGACTCTCTTGACTGGTTTTGGCAAGAGTTTAACCTCGGGTGGAGATTAGAACGATCTATACTGCTCTAATTGTGTCGCCGTTGCAGTTTCGATAATTAATGAAAGACTAAGTCGAAGAGTTGTCCCGTTTAGGCCTGAAAGCTGAAGTTCGAAATGGAAGGATAAAAACTGCCAAAAAATTGGACACGGAGCCGGTTAGCCGGTGATCTTTTGCGTTGGAGTCCTTTCATTTGTGAAGAGAAAATTACGGCTGAAAATTGAACATTCAACAGACGTAGCGTTGGCTAAAATTACATATTTGCATACGCGTATTACGATAAATTTCGTGGACGAAGCCGTCTTCATCGCTTTATACGCTTACTTTTAGCAATTTTTACTGTCAAGCTTGTTTTATGGGTAATACTTGAAATGAAACGATCATTTTTCCCGTGGGAAATAATTTATTTAACCATTCTAGTAAACAAGAAGTTAATTTGGGAAACACGCCAAACACTCCAGGTGACTTGTTGACATTTGATAACAGGACTAATTACTGGAGGGCGGATCGGCGGCATCAAAGGAATGTCTTCAGGCTCCGTCGCTTTCGTTCTGCGACTCGGCTCGCTTCGCCTAAATTTTCTTCAGGAGCCTGATCTCAGGCTAGCAAAATGCGTGAAAACGAAGTGTTCCAACAAATATGACGCGGACGCTTGTTGGTCGGATACCATCGTCAACACTGTGACGGTTGTAATGGGACGGCCGGAGTAGAGACAGAGATAAGGCTGGACAGATAAGAAGAAGCGAACCGAATACACTGTCTTTTTCTCTTGACATATTGATGCGCGAGCCTCGTTCCAGACGCTTTTCAGGACGTCACGTTACGCCAAACGAACTCGCGCTACCTACACAAAACAATAATGGAACGATGTCTGTCCTCACCTGCGTGAAACACAAATGTAAAATATTTGCGTTTAATCGATCCACAGCGCTTCTAAAGTCCCTTTTACTGAGTTCGTGGTGACAAAATTCACTGCAACATGAAAAACAAGAGGTTATCTTTTAAAAACTGAACACCAAGCGTCAGTCTGTAGTTGGGTTACAGCGCCTGTTGTGGCTGCAAATACCAATTATGTACAATACCATGCTCGGGGGGGGGGGGGGGGGGACTCCCATTTAAGTAATAGTATCGACACTTGGATAAAATATTTTGGCATATTTGGTGTTAACTCTTTTAAATATTTTGAGCTTCCCTTGGAAGCAAAAATTTGGTGCATGGCAAAAAATGACTGATGCGTGAGAAAGAACAAAGTTTGTGACCCGCAATACCTGTAGTTTATTTTTTTGGTAAATTCACGTCCAAGTAAAATGCTATGAGTTCGACCATTTGACAGGTGTGTGTAAGCGCGGCAGCCATCATGAAGGCAGGATTTTTCAACGAGATTTCTTCATCTGATGCTGCAAAAATAAAAGTTGAAAACACTTACAGTTAAGTTCGTTCCAATACAAGATATCGGAGGAGCTGGAGAACCCGGGGGGGGGGGGGGGGGGGGAACTCCCATATAAAAGTGGCGAGTGTGATCGTCGAAAATTTTGAAAAGATCCCCTAAAGGTACCAAAATCTAACTTTGTGGGTGTGGCTCGAATATATTTTCACCCCTATAAAGAGGTACCAACTCTAAGACAAAACTACAGTTTCCTGTCATTGTTTCCCAACTTAATACCGTAAAAGGTACCGGAATAACTCTAACAGTGCTCATTTTAGATTATAACACCCCTAAGCGGTACCAAACCACACATTTTAACCCCTAAAACCCTAGGTACGACGATCACCCCCGTCACTTTTACTATGGAAGTCCCCCAGTGTTCTGTGTATAAGGAAAATTACGCAGTAAAAAAGGGATATCAAAGAGTTGGAATTATAGAGATATCTTTTTTAGTTGATGCGTAACACACAAGTGCGATAATTTTTATCGAGAGTCAATAGACCCACAATGCGTGTGAAGAGGCCTGCAATGCGTGCAAAGACGCTACATAATAACAATTGTACTTCAGTGCAAAAAAATCCCAGAAAGCCAAACATTCTCAGGTGTTTGGTACAAAAGAGAAGTAAAGAACGCAATACCTGGTCCTCTGGATCCATTCCTGTGTGACTTGACTGTGAAAATAAACAAACCATGCGTGCATGATTGGTTAACATTCATCATTAGTTTCGGTCTTTACTTCGTTTGTTGGACAACTTGTTATGGAACACCTAAGCTGCTCACACTCCAATTTGGGAAAAAATAGAGCATCCGCATTAAATTATTGATATATGATTAAATTAATTGCATATTTATCGCTTAGCACACTTCACTTTCACAGGAACATCTGAACTCACAATAATTATTGACCTTGCTCCCAACATGTGGTTTCATAGCCTCAGTTAGTAGAGCATCGCACCAGTTAGGTGGAAGTCATGGGTTCATATCCCGTTGAAGCCCAACCTTGTTCCCAGGGTCTCTTCTTCCCGCCAAACCAAAAGAGACAAACTCTTGGCAGGAAGAAGAGAGACCCTGGGAACGAGGTTGGTTGAAGCCTTGATTATTTTTTCTAGCCTCCTACGCAGACGCTCTTTGGGCTCGTCACGCAATCTTTCCTACCCCATGATTGCGTGACGAGCCCAAAGAGCGTCTGCGTAGGAGGCTATATTTTTTCAGGCTTCTTTGCAAATGATTCTATTGTAAACACAACTGCGAGGGTCATTTCTTCACTTAACACTCTCTATCTGCAGTTCATATATGATTTCATTCGTTCATCGCTTCAGGGGAAACAAGTGCGATTTTTAGCAAATCTTCGTTGAAGCACGCAAATAATTTCCGATTGTTATTATCCAATCAAGAAACAGCACGGGCACTCACTCTGAAAATTGTCATGCCAGCATAGCAAAATGAGGGTATGTCATGTTGCTTAGCAACTTCGAGACGAAAATTACGTGCTCAGTCCCGTCTCGGAGACAGGATTCTGTCATCAACTGGTGCTTATTCCCCAACTGACTTAGCAAGCAAGGGTTTTTTTAAAGGTTTTCATGCGCATACCCCATTCGTGATAGGATGAGTAGTTCCCATTGCCTGGTAAATACGCGTCATTTATACAGTACTCCATTCGCACGTCTTCCTCCTCAGACACCCAGCGCCCTTCAATGTATGAGGTCCGTGTGGCCTCGGCAAGCTGGGATTCGCGGTTCTCGTCATCATTTTCACTCTCGATGTCACATTGTATATCTGAAGAACAGAGATTTGTTGAACATTCACTGACTAATTATACCCTGAGTGAGTACACAGACGTGGGAGGTGCAGTGGCTTACATATAATGGTAGCGTGTTCAACTAGTTGGACTCCGGATCGAGTGGTCCGGGTTTGAGCCCTGGTCAGGGTCACTGTGTTGTGTTTTGGGGCAAGACACTTTACTCTCACATTTCTTCTCTCCACCCAGGAGTAAATGGGTACCAGCAAATTGCCAGGGTAACCTGACAAAGATGCTGGGGATTACCTGTGATGAACTAGCATCCCATCCAGAGGAGTAGAGATACATGTACTCCTTGTGGCTTCATGCTATGGAAACCAGAGTAATAAACACCGGCCTGATAAGCCACTTAGGCTTGTAGACGGACTTCAACCTTTGAAAACAGATGTCTCTCTCCAGTCAGTTTATGCCAAGAGAGAGATATTCCATAACACAGCTCTACAGAGATCGGTGTAGTGTCTCTTATTGGTTGTTGCTTGGATATCAATTTTTTTCGCATGCAAATAACAAACCAATCAGAGGACACTTAGCCGATTTAGTCAACAGTATGGAATTTTTCGGGTCGAATCGCAGACATCTCTCTCGCCAGTCAGGTGAACACGTGCTGTGTTTGGCAAATCTTTGTTGATGCAATTGAAGAGTTTTCTGGTTGTTATAATATCCAATCAGAAACCAGCACAAACACTCACGCGTATTCCCATAGCAGTCGCACCAGCATGTAGTGCAATAAGGATACGTCATGTTGCTTAGAAACTCTGGGGACGGTTGCCACGCAACATTACGTGATGACCAAATTATGGCTGCCAAACTAGCTTGCGCACAAACATCTCCTACTTCCTTCTTGTGTTAGAAAGATGCAGGAAGAATAAAGTTTTAAAATGTCAAAAGTTTTAAAACAATGGTTCTGTGTTACATATACCTTTACTGAAGTCAATGGCATCCTTTGAGGGTGGAGTACCCAACACTTGGAAAACAGGATTAACTTGAATGGCAAACAGGTATTTCTGTATCTGTGATATACTGATTCTGCGAACCTCACACAGATTCTCCATAACTCTCTCAAGGTCTTTTTTTGCTTTTTCCTACGTCAGTCTGTTGTTAAGAGTTGTAAAAATGTTACCAATGCGACACTACATTTTTGCGGGAGTTTAATTTTGCAGATTGGTGATTAGGTCAGGTGTCCAAAAATAAGGGCGTTTGGGAAATAGAACAACATACTGCAGTGCACTCTTCTAAAGTTAGATATTTTGGGGTAATTTGCTTGTAAATCAAGGCATCATTCCCCATGGGGTTAGTAACAGGGGGGTGCAAATCAGGCCAAATTTTTAGACCAAATTTTAAAAGTCCCATTAGGCTAAAACAAGTCCAATGGCACAGAATTCAATACAACCCTGCATAAAAATAATTATTAAGTAAAAAATAAATACATCAAGAGAGTGCGAGATAGTTCTGTAATCATTATTCCGCCTTTATTTATTCATCATGCATCATAAAATCAAGAACACTAGGGTTCGCTTTTTAACAGCCCTAAAAAAGTCACTACCATCTGAATCTTTCTTGATACCCAAAAAAATCCGCCAGAAAATTTCTAACACAAAAAAGTCCCCAAATTGCTAATTTCACCCCCCCTCCCCCCCCCCAAAAAAATGGCCTTCTACACCTCCCCGTCACTATTACCTGAGTATCCCCCCACTCCCTTGGGATCATTCATGATGTGAGATCAAGTCCTTGATTCTCATGCTCTGCTTATTTGAATTTGTTATAAAAATGTTAAGAGAAGTTAGATGTTTATCGCTGTGGACACCTCCAGGACAGAGCAGAACACTAAACCTCTCTATCAAATCACCTGGTATTGTTGTAACTGCTTCGCCTTTCCCTGTAGTTTTTCTACGTGTTCTGTCTTCTTCAAATGTACCGTGTCATTAGATTCTTGAAGTTTGCAACAGCATGGGTTTCTGCAGAAAAAATACAAATTAATGCATGTTCTTTGGGACAGAATCAATTATCTAGCGTCAATAGGCTTGCAATGCATGCGAAGGTGCTAGATTATTTAGCATCAATATAGGCCCACGATGCATGCGATGACACTAGAATATCTAGCATCAATAGCCCCACAATGCGTGCAGAGATTTATCATGTCAGAAGTTTGTCAGTAACTTAGACTAAATTTAACTTCAGTACATTTATGCTATTAGCGACCTTTAGATCGGAGGACGAGTACGAGATTGAGTACGAGTATGACTTTTCAAATCTAGTTCGCAGGGTTTACATCAACATGTCTAACACCAATCTTGTCCCTAGAGCCCAATTCTCTACTAGTCTGCAACAGTAAAGAGCGAGGACTCTGGGAACGTGACTGATTTGAAATTCGTAAGTCGTACTCGTAGTCAATCTTGTACTCGTACTCCGATCTAAAGGTCCCTATTAAGCCAAATGAATGTAAACAAAGATGGCCTATCTGGCAAAGTAACCCGGTCAACTACAGTAATTGTGATGAGGAGTATAGATTTGCTTTGTTTTCCCAAGGAGAACTCACCTGACTCAAGATCTTGAGTTGCCTCTTGCACAACCAACCTCAACAGCAAAACTCTCTGTCTTCTAGAGATCGCCTCACAATTCTACAGCAAGACGGTCAACAAATCACTAAATGCAATGTCATACGTTTTCACAAAAAAGGTGTCTGACTCTTAGACAGAAAATTATTCGTTGAATGAAGAGTTCATGATCATAATAAAGTCTCAATATACGTCTGATGATCAGATTGAAAGGTGATCGCCTAAACCGTTAGCCACAAGCACACTATGTGATGTGATGTGCAGTGCCCGTCTATATAAATAAATAAATATGGACAGAAGCTCTTCACGAAACTTGATCTTAGGGTGAAAAAATCCTACGATATCCTACGACTTCGATATAAAAGTGACAAGGGTGATCGTCATACCTTTTAGGGGTTAAAAATCATGGTTTGGTACCGCTTAGGGTGTTGAAATCTAAAATGACTACCGTTAGTCTCATTCCGGTACCTTTTAAGGGTATTAAGTCAGAAAAAATATGACAGGCACTAGTTTTGTCTTAGAATTGGTACCTCTCAGGGGTGAAAATGAATTTGAGCCACACCCACAAAACGAGATTCTGGTATCTTTTAGGGTCTCTTTTCAAACTTTTCGACGATCACCCCTGTTACTTTTATATGGGAGTCCCCCACCCCGGGGTGGTAGTGTATACAAGAGAAAGTTTGGGAGAATTGAAAGTTTTTTTACGTAACTAGTTTGAATTCTCCCAAGCTTTCTGTAGTATTTGCACCAGACTGCACTGTGTAAACAAGAAGTTTTCCGTTTTCTATTTCTTTTATAAAATAAAGCCAGAAAAATGCAATGCTACGCCATAACCGTGTTACATAGCCTCATGCAAAATGACTACTCAACCAATCAGAGTACGCGTTATATGACCAACATTTTATAAATGTATAAATATAATAATTATATAAAATATAATACAAACCAATTTATCTGTTTCCTCTCTTGTTCTTAACACATCTAGTGCTCTGTAAGTACATTACAAGCATTACATGTTTAAATATTTATTAAAAACTAGAAATAAAATGGAAATTGAATTTGAATCAAATTAATCACATCACAATGAAGTAATAATATTTTTTGTAATTAATTTAAATTTCATCACCTACCGTTTTTCATATTCTTTCTTTAACTTCTTTAAAATCTCTAATTTTCTTAACTTTTCTGCATATCTGTTGAGAAAAAAGACCGAAAACGTTCTTGCAACGCTAACCAGCCACATATAAATTCTTAAACTTATAGTTACATGTATAATTTTAAGCTAAAATGTAAAATTCTGTAATAAAACCATCGATATATTCGTGGCTACCGTTCGCTGTATTTTCCATTAGAATGGCCAAAGTTTCCACTTTGAATGCACGAATCACAAGTAAAACTCTTTCTCTTGCTACTGCATAAAGGGCAGGTCAGCCAGAGCTGAACAAATCGTGGGTTTCAACGCGTTTTCGTCTTGAAAATACTCCGCCATATTATAAATTTGTTGTACATTTTTCGCTGAGGTTTTGGTTTTGACGATGAACCGCTGGCCTATTGCGTGTTCATAAAACAGCGTCCATTGGTCAGCGGATTTACGCAGTAACGGTACAATATATGTCCTCATACATGAAGTATATATCAACAGA